ACATCAACGACGATAATAATAATAATATTATATTCAATTTCACATTTACAAATATTGACAAATAGAAAAGCTATAGGTTCAGCAGCAATCATTCAGTCCTGAGCGTATCTTAATGTTTGTTTCAATCTTTTTTTAAAGTTGTATAAAGAGAAATTCCTGTATTCTGTGGGGAGCGAATTATAGTGTTTGGATGCGTTGTAGGCAAAACTACGTGTAAATAATGCTGTGGAGTATCTCGGAATAACTAGTAAATGGTTTTTCCTGGTGTTCAGTTGATTTACATTCGAGAAAGGGACTAGCCTTTCACGCAAATATGATGGTTCACCTGTCTGTAGGACCTTATGAGTAAGTATTAGTAAGTGAAGTTTGCGTAAGCTTTCTAATTTCAGCCACCCAGATTCTCTGAATTTAGAACTAATATGGTCGTATTTCCGAATACCGTAAGAAAATCGAATGCAGGAATTCTGAATTTTCTGAAGTCGTAAAGCGTCAGTCTGTAAGATTGCTGGACCGTATATAAATGCTATCACAATAGGACAATTTGGATCTCAAATATCCTTCGACCGATTTACTTGAAATTTGGCAGTGATATTTTTTGTCATGAGGGGCTGATTCAGCCATAATTGAATTGGCATTATGAAATCCAGTGACGTCCTGGGGGACACCCTACGGAATATTATTGTCACTAAAATGTGCGCCACTGATATTTTCGAATTGTTTATCTTCATATCCTATTGACCAACTAAAAATACAGCATTTTGGTCTTCTGAATTGTTTTGATGTTTTGCTTCGTTTTCGTGGAAAAAAATAAATACCAATTCATTGTATAAATTTGTGCAAAAAATTCCTTCAAAAACTGGGGTGAAACTGAATGTCTGATCCATGTAAATAGACATAAAATAAGAATGAAGATTCATTTTCTTCAAATAATCAGGGAGCCTAAAAGAAAAATCCAATACCCTGTCAGTGACAATTTGTTCGAAAAAGGGAAAAAAATATAGCTATATTGGAAGAATATCGAATTATTACTTATCTTTGGTCGTTTCGGGATCAGCTCTGCTTCCGTTCTCAACATGAAACTGCAAAAATATTACATTTATTTACTTAATTATTTATAAGAACATATATTTTTTCCTCAGTGCATACCACTTCATTTACTTTATATTGAACGTCAATTTCGTTAACACCCTGTAGGAAATGGAACATAATGTTTGTAGGTATATTCATTATTGATATCTATATGATGGTTTCTAATACCAGTCCAAATTTGATTGGATTCGCAAGCAAAATATATATTTGATTTAAACAGTATAAGTATACCTATACATGAACGTTCGTATAACTATATTATGTGAATATGTTGAATTGTCATGTAATGTCTATCTGTTCAGAACAGTGTTCTCACAAATTGTCTTTTCAACTTTGTATTCGCATTATTTTTTTGTTTTTCCAACAACCCAAGAGGTTTATGAAATTTCCATGTTTATTTTGGTCTCCTCATTTAGAGAATTTTTGTATATTTATATTTATTCTTTATTCTGAATGAACATTATTATTATTATTATATTATTATACATAATAATTAAATAACACTCGTTTCATGTAAGTACAAGTGCCTAATAAGTATCAGTATTCCTATAGATAATATTTTACGATTCCATTGAACATTTCCATTCTGAAATAAACAGAGGTACCTGATGTACCTATACCTAATCAAATAAGTAGATGTTTATTTGTTATCACAATTCAACAAAGTAGGTGTATTATTCATAAATAACCAGAGATAATAATCCATTATGCGAGGATGTAAAAAGTAAATTTGATATGTCAGCCGAGCGGTATACACCTATAAAATGCGTTATAAATACTCCTATGATTAAATACCTAGTTGTTTCTTCATATTATTCTTATCTTTTGAGGATTTAAATATTTACAGTGAATTTGTATAGCTTATATTTTTTGTGCTCTGGATTGTATAGGTATATCTATATGCAGACAGCGCAGAACATTTCAAGTTGATAAAATCGATTTTGTCTTCATAGATATCAATGTTTTGAAAACAAATTCATTCAAAATTTTTAATTATCATTTCATTTCAATGGGTTTGTATATACTAGTAAACTTTATACGCCACATTCGTATTGATCCTGTTTTATTATTCCAGTTATTTATAAAAATATATGATTACTATTTCAATATACGTGAAGTGCGAAGACAAATCAGATGATTTGAACCAAAATGTCACTGCGTTTAAAGAATTTTCCTATCAGAAAGAAAAATTCACTATTGGGTTTTATTGCTATAAGGACGGCATATATCACGTGATCATCAAGTGTGATTATTTGGTAGTAGTTGGAAAATTCTTTAAATGCAGTGACATTTTGGGGCAAATCATCTGATTTTTCCTCACTACACGTATATTGAAATACTATTCAAATTTTTATTTCATAGAAACGAAGAGAGAAAATCTGATCGATTGACCTACAGGCAGTATCCTTTTTTATATATTGATCTTTTCCTGGATAAATAGTATATTCTGAACAATGATTCATCACCTATTTTAAATCATCAAAAATACTCCCTATTCACTAATTCGAAATCCATTCTCCATATGAAATTGAAATGAAAATACTCACTAGGAAGATAATTTTCTTATATATAGTGAAGAATGCCTAATAATATAATTCAACAGGAAAGATACCCTTCAATTCAATTAAAACGCATGGCTCTGCTATGTTCATGAAAACATTTTTTTTTTCTAATTTCATCAATGAAAAGTGATTGTCCCTGATAAAAAGGTTCACATTCCATTTTGAAACACCCTGTAAATAGCAAGACGCTGATCTTATCACTTTTCAGCAATTCAATGACACATAACGAAAATAAACATTTTCACAAATATCTTCATCTTCACAATGATCGTATTAATCAAAACGGGAAAAGGGTACTCAACCTATATCAACTGGCTTACGAGAAAAATATTATCTTGTCCGATTAACATCTATCAAATACATCATTCTGTTTGTGTAGCTGTCAAGAAAGATTAATATTTGTACAAGCTCCAAAAAAAACAACAATTTTGATGTAAAAACACTTATTTCAAGTAAGTACTATAAGTACCTACATCAGAGAAGAATAAATAAATTGACGGTTTCGAAGATCGATATCGAACACTAATATACAGGGTGTACAAGTTTTCAAGTACAATTAAATTGATTGACTATGAACTTTTTGAATAAATGATTATTTCGAAACAAGAATAATATCTATTTCGTTATAGGTATACAAAACAAATTATTAGCTTGAACCAATATAAATTCATTTTTGTGTGGACCTATCACTTGAAAGATTTTTTCAAATTATTTTCAAAGCAAATGTTTAATCGTGTCATTATATGAATGTCTCAGAAACATCCTGTATATTGAGCTTGAGCATCAATGACGAAAACCGTGAGATAGTGATAGCTATCATGAATTCATCATAAAATCATCACTGTTTATGTTTTTATTGATATATTGAACGTTGGATAACACAAATAAATCGAATTGCTATATTTTATGAGTTTGCATTACCTATAAAATAACGATAATTGATAAAAAGTATATTGATTATTTTACAGTCAAAATATTTTTATAGCCAATATACCAAGTGACCGCTAATTCAGTAATAATAGGCAAGGAAACTCATTTCTAGTATGAAAATATTATGACGTTTTTTTTTTCAAATTGTTTATTCCTTCCAGATTTCTCAAAATAAATCCCCAAAGAAATGCTCCTGTTAGAACACGACGGTAATCATTCATTCAAAATCATTGAAGGATGTCTTTGTAATTCCTGGAAAACTGCTTCTGCATGTTGTTGCACGAAGTTCTTCAAGGTTTTTGTACCTCTGACGTATTGAGAAAGTGTGTGAATTGTATGTTAAGTTAATGAATAATTTCGAAATTCAATTGTTTTAGTGAATATTTAATCAAGTGCTTATTCCAAGCTATGAACTTCCTATTACTATTTATTCGTTGCTATACATCAGGTACCTAAGTTTTGTTAGTAACTTATATAGTGTTGGTATTGTTTTTGTCCTCTTCATGAATGGAATAACCAAAAAAATATATCTACAATTGGATTTTTTCATGAAAAATACATAGCCCACTATTAAAATTTAATGTTATAGTGATTTTGGAGCATTTGTGAGAATTTTATATTCATACATTATATATCATTCTGAAGAAAAACAAAAAAGGAATTTGATGAGCTGATAAAATACAGGGTGTTCCATTTGAAAAATCATAAGTTTGAGTCGTAACTCCAAAGCCATAACCCGAATAACAAAATTGAAAGCTCCCCTTGATTCTGCGTAAAATTCTCCATGAAGTGAGATTTCAATTCGACATTTTCACTGAGAAATTTTATAAATAAAGAGAGGGTCCAAAAATTATACATTTTCAAAATCGCCCTGTATGTCATAAAAAACTGGACTGCGAATCCGCAAAGTTCTATCTCCAAAGATAACTGCATGATGCAAAAGCATCGAAAACTGGACACACTGTACATTCCACACAAAATATTTATGGCATAAAACAATCATCCCTAACAAGAACAGAACACCATATCCCTGAATGCCGCACACGAAAATTACCTCGAATCTTTGCTTGCAAACGACCCCTGCTTATTCCATACATCCTCTCCACTTCTCCTACACAGGAAGAAGGTCGTTTACACAAAAGCGTCAGAAAAAAATCAATGAACTGTCAGAACTCGGCCCATACAACAATTTCACCCCAAGCACACGAAAATCCCAACGTCAACCGAGGGGTGAGATAGGCGTGGTCGACCAAAAAACGAGGCGGGGCCTATTACCCAACCCCCCACCCTTACCGCTTTGTTTTCTCACCCGGCAGCCGGATATGTGGTAGCTTGAACCATCATTGTTCTTGCCATCATAATATTGAGATAACATTTCTAGCTCAGAAGTAATCTGGAGCCCACACCAGAAACACACACTCTTATCAGTGATAGCGCGCGTTACAACGACACACCTGGTGAATGCGCGTCCGGTCAGAGTGAACAAGATGGACGAAACGTCGACCATCATCAGTGACCGAACGGAAATCTTCGAGCAACGCTACCCGGCGCCAGAAAGTCCTTTGGACCTACGCGGGACACCATCTGCTGCAGACAATCGGGACAAATCCAAAAAGAATTCTCAACACCCAGTGATCAAACCACCCTACTCCTATATAGCCCTGATAACGATGGCTATACTTCAATCACCTCACAAGAAGCTAACCCTCAGCGGTATATGCGAGTTCATCATGTCCAGGTTCCATTACTACAGAGAAAAGTTCCCCGCTTGGCAGAACTCCATAAGGCACAACCTCTCGCTGAACGACTGCTTCATCAAGATACCCCGCGAGCCTGGCAACCCAGGCAAGGGTAACTACTGGACCTTAGACCCCCTGGCTGAAGACATGTTCGACAACGGGAGTTTCCTGAGGCGCAGGAAGCGCTACAAGAGGCCCTCGCCCAACATGATGCTGCGCGACCATCACGCCTCCGCTATGGTAGCCTCTTTCCTTTCCAGCCAGGAGAACTATCACCACGGGCTGTTCGCGCCCAACCCCTACCCCTATCTGCCTGGGCTGCCCTTGCTCAGCCCCATGGACCTGTCTAGGATGGGGCTGGGGCCTCTGGGGATGCTGCCGCAGCCGACGCTGTGCAAGCCTGTGCCTGTGCAGCCTGCGAGCCTTAAGGAGGATTACCTGGCGACGGACTTGAAGAAGAAGTCGGGGGGGTTCTCCATCGACAGTATTATGGGGCACGAAGGTAAGGGGGATGGGGGTGGTGAGTTGGGGTTGACTAGGATCCGTAATCAGGGGTCGGCTTTTTCGCCGTTGTCCGTGGGGGAGGATTGGACGAGGTGAAAGTTTGAGGGGGTTTAGACTGGAGCGGGAATTTTCAAGGGGTGAAGCTGGAATTGCTGATATTTTCGACACAAGAACTGCAATTTGAACGGTGATTTTCTTTCACAGTTGTCGCGTACAAGGTGGGCCTCTTAAAATGGAACCCCCATAACTCTTTTGTTTTCAAAGATGTGAAAAAATGTTGGATCAAAAGTTGTTTGAAATGACCCAAACTTGTATTTCGTGAAGTTGCTCTATATACAGGGTCATTCATTTTTCCGGAAAGGTAATTAACGTCGATTTTTTCAATGGAACACCCTCTATATTTTCTGATATGTCGATAGAGCCTTTCTTTCTCAATCCAAAAATATATACGAGTTGCATATTCGCATTGAAAATAATTGAGTTATTGATGATCAAAATTTACCAAAATATATACCGCATCTCCCATTCGAACTGGTCTATTCATATTTTTTTATTGAGATTGAATGATTTCAATGTCATAATAAAAAATATCATGACATTTCCATGGAGCTTGAACAACATGAATATTATAAACGTTATTTATTTCAAAGATCACTGTGTTCAACTTACATTAGATGATATGAACTCAATGAAGTGATTGGTAAACTTTGATCATCAACAACTCAAATATTCTTCATCCAAATATGCAACTCATACATATTTTTGATATCAGAAAAAATAGATCTATCGACATGTTGTAAAATATATAGGGTTGTTCCATTGTAAAAATCAAAGTTGATGTTCTTTCCGGAAAAACGAATGACCCTGTTTATGAAACAACTTCACAAAATGAAAGTTCGGGTCGTTCCAAAAAAATTTTTCATTTATTATTTCTTCCATATTTCTGAAAACGAAAGAGTTAAGGGGGTTGTATTTTAGGAGGCACACCCTGTACATGGGATGATGATGTGTTTGATGGTTGGGGTTGAAAAATTTGTGCTGATCAGATATAAAATGTATGAATAACTTGTGTGAAAGTCTTACTATAGGTAACTAACTACACAGTGACGACAAAAATCATGTTTGTAGAATCCATACCTATATATATGTTCGTATTTTCCTACGGAAAACTGGCTTTTATTAAAAAATGAAACAAAAAAATTCAATTCAATTCACAATAAAAAGTTTGATTGCCGTCACAAATTGAATCAAATTGGCGATTGAAACATTTTGAATAATTCGAGCAGACACTGAGGTGATCATCAAGAAAACACCATCAAACGACCATCATCTGTTTCTTTGAAAATGTCACAAATTCGCTGGTTATATTGTAAAATATGTTTTCTGTATATAGTGATAATTATTATTGTCTTAGAAAAAAATTGCCAAAATATGTTGAGTATAACGACCTATTTTCACTGAAACCTTTCTCGACAGAATTCAGAAGAAAACACTATTTTCTGTTTATATTTTAGCAATTTTCTTCCACACAGACATTCAATCTCATAAAGACCAAAGATGAAGCCGACTATGATGTGATTTAATTGTTGCAATATTTATTATTTATAGGTTTGATAGTCAGGATTTCAATGATTTTATGTGAAAATTCATAAATCTTTCGGTCTACAAGTTCCACAATATAGAAATGGTAACGTGATGGAAATATTATAGTCATTCAATCAATCAAAAGTTTTTTCAAAATATATTCATATGAATATAGATTATATAAATAGTTCCATGAAACAAATCCATAACGAAATAGTCTGTACCTATAACTTTGAGTTTTTCTTGCACTGAGCAATTTATCAAATATTTTGAAAAAAAGAAATACGTTCGTGAATGATTGTTGACTGAAAGATGTATATACCATGTATAGCTGAAAAGTGTAAAAGCTTAGTTTAATGAGTTTTGTGTTCTCTCATCTCATATCTATACATACCGGGTAATTCAAAATTCGATGTTAATATTTCAACGACATATTGTTGGGATCAAAATAATACTTTTATTCATATACGGAGTGTCCCAAAATCAGGCTGCAAAATTTCACCAGCGGCTTCTACCGTCAAAAATACAAGAACTAAACTTTCCATGTCCAGTGCAGTTGGAATTAAAATCATTTCAAAATTTCACTCATCAGGAGTATTATGTATGAGTAAACCTATATTTTTGTATGCATATTTTTCGACAATTTAATCTCGGATTATGAAAATCCATACTATTTCCCAAAAAAAATGTGTACTTGTTTCGTATCGATCAGATGTATTATTATCGAGTTAAAGCGATGCAAAAATATTGTTATATCTCAGATATACAGTGTGTCCACCTTAAGGACTTACCACCCCTGTAAAATCGTTATTATCCGACCAATTTCAAAAAACCTATTTTGTTGGATAGGTATTTGAAATGCCCATCCAACGAGAGAGTGATCTCATTCTTGGACTGTTATCGTGGCCAACTGCGACAAATTTCAAAGACCCATATTCCAGAAAGTACTCTTAGGGATTTTTTTTGATGATGTATTCTGAATCAGTACCACTTGAAATATACCTGTACCGATTTTCATCATCATAAAACACAGGGTGTTCGAAAAAACGAATCATCATTTTCTTCAAATAGGTGATCAGCAAATGTAGTTCTGTATGGTTTTTCTAGGAAGAAATGATCACAAATTATCATTGAGGATTATTTCAAATATACCTGTAACAATTTTCTTCATTCGAATATACAATGTGTCTGAGAAAAAAATTAAAAAGGATAGGTATAAGCAATATTTTTCATCCTGATAATTCTTCACTCAAAATAAAAAGATGAATCAGGATCACTTGGAACATACCCGTACCAATTTTCATCATCATTAAACACATGGTGTTCGAAAAATAGAATTAATATTTTTTGTGAGTTGATGAAAAAATATTGCCGACTTTTTCTTTTAAATTGTTTTCTCATACACATCGTATTTTTGAACGATGAAAATCGGTACAGATATGTTCAAAGTGATCCTCAATAATAATGTAACATCAATTCTTCTCAAAAATACCACAATACCACATTTTTTGATCACCTATTAAAAAAAAACATAATTCGTTTTTTTGGATACCCTGTGTTTTATGATGATCAAAATCAGTGAAGGTGTTTTTCAAGTGATCGTGATTCAGAATCCATCATTGTTTTTTGTGAAAAAAAATCTCTAATAGTACTTTCTCAAATATGGGTCAATAAAGTTGGTCGCAGTTGGCCACGATTACAGTTCATGAGTAAAATCAATCTTGTTGGATGGAAATTTCATAACAATTTTACAGGGGTGGTAAGTCCTTAAGGTGGACACACTGTATATGCATAACATTGCAATCAGTTGTAGTGGAAGTGAAATAAAGTGCACGCAAAAATAAGTGAAGTAGTTTTCTATCATAATGGTGAGAAAAAAGTAGTTGATTTTTTATAGCCACTATGATTTGAAATTATGGCAACGTTATATGCATTAGTTGTGAAGGTATCAATATAAGAGCACCTTTTTTGTGAAACGGTGTGGATTCTCATAATTCGAGATTAAATTGTCGAAAATATGAATCGAAAAAGTCTCAGAAATATTTAATGTGTTCCCACCCTGTATTATATACACTCCTGAATGAAACTTTGGAATGCTTTTATGTTCACCGCATTGGGCATGGGGAGTTAATTTCTGTCACCAAATTGCATCATTTTATCACGTGACGTTTCGGAAATATTCAAGAAATATCATCTTAAATGCGTTCCGACATACGATCACCTCCGTATGCAAGCGTTCGAAAACGATGTCGTGACTTCCTTTCGTTGATCACGATTTTCTAGCTAACGTTTATTTGTATAAAAACAATGCAAGATCAATCAAAGTGTATAGATCCCCCTTCAACTCCCCAAAACTGCTTTTACATCATTTTTGAAGCAAGAAGGAAATAAAGTGTCTAAGGAAAACAGGGGCATGCCATTTTTTTTCTTAACACACGGTGGCTGTAGCTTGGAGGGGTAACATTATAAAGGACACATATTTATATAAAAAAAGTATTATTTTGATCCCAGTAATATGTCCTTGAAATATTTACATCGAATTTTGAATCACCCTGTATATCATTATATATATCGTGTTGTATATAAACTCATGAGATAATGTTACAAAATTGTACAGTTATAGTATTCAATGTTTTTTTTTCGTACTACAATAATTAGAATACCAAAATGACAGTATATTATGTATAGATATTAAAATATAAAATACCACTACATGAATGACAAAGAATGTATTGAATTGAATATGAAATGAGAAGGGGTAAGATAGGTACTTGTATCGATATTATTTTATAATGAAATGTTACTAGTACTCATATAATAAATCCTTCCATATTTTTCTGCATTTGTTTTATTTTAAAAAAAGGAACACTCACTTTTGTATATCAGTTCTGGCTGATGGTGCCTCCATAATAGAATTCATGCATCCTTTCGCAAATAGATTTCTGTAAAAAATCAATCATTATTTCACAATGGATTGAGGAATGGGGAATCTCATTTGAATAAGAATTGAAAAAAAAAATGCAGATGGAACTTGTACGAGGGACTGTTTATAACACCGCATAAACAAATATTAATAATTATAAATGCTTTCTCTAGAAATTTATCTTCCCATATTATTTGGGAAAGTAGAACAAATAAAACTCTTCAAATAGTGAAGGTATATCCCAAAAGTTCTTGCGCCCTATTCTATCTATAAACAGGTAGGTATGTCATCTAAAAATACGAAGGAATTTTATATTTATAGGTGTTGGGTAAATATCGTATATTTATAGTTAACAAATACTCTATTTACTTTGTGGAAAAGTTAATATAAAATAACATTTATTCAAAAATTCTTGCACCTGTTATCAGAAAGTAAATTTTCATAGTTCACATTGTGTTGGATTTATTATAAAGGCCAACAAGATACACAAATACTACTTTCTCATTCGAATACATATCTACTAGGATATTTTCATTGTTAAAGAATATGAAGAAATTTCACCATGAGTGCCTTAAAAGCGGTATATCTATTGAAGGTCAGGGGCGAATTGGGAAGAGTAAACCGGTCAGGAAAATTA